CCCCATGACCCTAGTGAGGATTAAGCGGTGAATAGATAATGGATAGATGGATGTTTATAAAAGTCCAATCTGTCCAATCTTCTAACTCTCACAGCAGGAGATTTGCAGCAGTGACTGAATTGTTTGTATGGATGCTTGCCATCTAGAACGTGACCTCTCCAATCATTAAGTAACAAAATATAGCAACATGGGGCCAAGTAACAATAAAAACACATTATTATTGTTTTATTGTAAGTTGTTGGAGTTAGATACATCACCATTAGGCTATGGATGGATTTTAATTTGGTCAGCACCACAGTCAGCAGATTTGTTCTGATTATTATCACTTATTTATTTGGGATGTTGTGTTGTGGGACTTTATCTGTGAACTTTCTTCACAAGCACCTGCATCTCTTCTCCTGAACTATTTGAAAGGTTGATGATGCAAATGACTGTTAAACTGAATGTATGAAAACAAGTATTTTCAAGGCACAGCTTCAAATATGGTTATAGCTGTTAATCATCATAAATAGGACTAATTATCAGGCACACAGCTAAAGAACTACTGGTCTTCCTAGCCTGCTTTCATTGTGATTTTAATGTGGCTTCAGCATAAAAAGACAGTGGAGTGACCCTGCTTTGCCTAGAACACAGTGTTTCACATTTTATATTCACTTTACTCAGTAATAACCTAAAAACGGTGCAATTATCAGGTTAAAATGTAAAAACTGCTGCGCTGAGCTGGGCCCCCAATATGTCAAGCTCCCAACAACGTCTGTGCTGGTTGCTGAAATTAAATTACTGCAAAGGATCCAGGAAGCTTTTACGACATGTATAAAGTCTTCCGAGGATTGCCCACAGCCTGGCCCAGTCTAAATATAAAGCCTCAGTCCTTTTTGCTTCTGTTAACTTCAGCTCATTTGCAGTCATTGTTTCACTGGTTGATAGAAAACATACTGATAACGTGACAGTTGCGTGGCTGTTTCTTGATTGCATTAATAATGCCTAATAGTATAGCACTAGACTTTGTACTTGCTATAAGCCGACTAAACCCGGCTTACTTAGCAAACTAATCCCTGAGACTGTGTGTTTGTGTTAATGTTGGAATGTTATGTTGGTTTATACTTTTCCAGCATAATGAAGTGG